AGCCGTCTGAGAAGTTCTCTCAATGCAAGAGACATTTCATCCGAGGAGCTTAATGGATTGCGGGATTTTGCATTCCAGCAACATCTGCCCCTAAACGAGCCATCCTCTTTCTCTCAGCTACAGTACAATGGTTCTTCTAACGATCTTTTTTCTCCTTCAAACACCTTGAACCACTCAAATCTAGACAAGATGTTCAATGCAAATGTCTCATCTCCTCAGTATTCTGAGCAACTGGGAGGTTCTGCATCAGTTTTCTTTCCCACATATTCGTCAGCAGCTCTTAATCAACAGCAGCAGCATCCGAAAAGCAAGGCATCTCGAATTCAGGGGATATCACCTTATATCAATGATCCTGTGTCCTCTTTGGGCTTTCAACAATCTGCTCATGTTCGCCGGGAGAGGATGTTGCAACAATTACAAAGCAGCCTACTCCCACAGAAGTTTAGTTCTAAGCCATCATATGACCTTGGATCCAATGGTACAAATTCATGGTCAAAATGGAAATCTGAGAACAGGAATGTAGATAGGTTTATTCAGGCGGACGAAGTGGGTCAGCCACACACATCAAGTTCAATTGAGCACGTTGGAGAGGAACCCGATGTGTCATGGGTTCATTCAATGTTAAAGGACTCACCATCTGAGACAAACGAGACAACTGCTATTCCAGTCCCAGCTACCCTTGATGGCTCTACTTCAAACCCTCACATTGAATCCAGTGATTACATGGCTTTGCAAGCTTGGCTTGAGGGGTTGCAGCTTGATCAGAACGTTGTTTAGGGAAAAAGCAAATAAATACATATATAGTCATAGCTGAATTTCAGATTTATTAGTTAGTGCTATCAGATTTAAATAACTAAGGTAGTCGTAACGATACGAGCTCAAAGGAAGAAAAAGTTCAGAGAAGAAATTCTCCATTCATTGAAAAAGTTCAGAGAAGAAATTCTCCATTCATTCTTTCATTTTGTTTCTGAAATTATTACAGAGGTAATCATGAGGTTTAAATTATTGCAGGGGGTTTTCCTGCAAAGGTCCAGCTCCACTTAGATTCGTCCGGAATTTTCATTTTTTCAGGTTCATATTTTCCGTTGAATTATTTTGTTAAGAGTATAGGATATGTGTTTTTCTTTTTGGCAGGGATGAAGCAATGGCCTTGTGTTGCTCTCCCATTTTACATAATTTATTTGTTCTTGTTGCTTTCATCCGAGGTTGATTTGTATTGGAGTTCAACAAATCCTGAGGATGTAATAAATTGCATTTACACTACACTAAATCAATTAGCAATCTTTTATGGTTCCTTAAGCGTTTACTTTCCATCTGCTTCCATATCTGCTTCATCAGAATCAATGATGAAGTGGGTCCAAGTGGGGTGGTGGGTAAGGGATATTGGATCGGAAAGGTGAATGGTATTTTCATTTTTAATCTTTAATCTTTATTAGAAGATGAGATATGGGCATGAGGAAATTCTTATCCCATAAAACTGATGTGATGTGGAACCTACTTTTACATGCTATGGAGCACCAAGGTATCATCTACCAACCGTGATGGCTGATGCCTCCTTTAGTTGATCAGTCTTTGTTGCATCGGGAATTCTTGGAACTTTGATGTTACAAGTGGGGCAACTTTGGATTGATCTTGACGGGTTGCCTAATGTCGCTAGGTTTTTAAGGTTAAATCTAGTTAGGGAGGGTAATGCTGGACATCATAGCTGCTGGGGTTTCAGGGAAGGGATTCGTGATCGTTTATGTGCCTTTGATGGGGTCGAGTTTGCTGTTGTTTTTGGTATATTGATCCAAAGATTTCTAAACATGGAAGGATTTTAGCTCAAGTTTAGAACGATCAACTTCGGGAAACAGTCTTAAACCACGGATTCTGGTTTTTGGTGGCTGGTAGAATGTCCTTATGACCGTGGATTTACAAGGCAATCGATCAACCACGCCTAACCACACCCCCTTTTCCCCCTGTTGTTAAATTGTTAGATGATCAGTAAGTTTGACATGTTAGCAGTGGAAAATGGAGCTGAGAAAGTGTTTTAGGTTTGATTTTGGTGTTATCACCATGTTCGGAGCAAATTCTAAAATATCGTCTTAAAAGTTACAACCACCATTTCCCCAGATGAAATGTGTTTGAATATGGTAATGTATTCATGGAAGAGGCAGAGAACCATCATCTACTGATTACAGAGGAAAGAAACCTTAGTAAAAAATATATCTCACTGTACACAACATGCGTGAGGATAGTTTCACAGATCATCAAGGGATAAGCACGAGCTCAAGACATTAAAATATGATCCTTTCATCCCCAGTTTTTAACCTCAAAAATGGAGCAAGGATGGATTCAGGAATTGGTAAACTATTAGAAAACAAATTTTCATATCCATGGCATCTGATTAGTTAGTTATTAATCAGTAAAACACAAAGTAAATAGGTCACAGAAGATTGCTAAAAGCTTATGCACAAAATTAATAAATTATAAAGAATGCTAAGATATATACAAACTAGTTTTTGTTTTTTTTTTTTTT